AGAGAAAACTTATTAAGAGAGAAGGGTCCAGGGGAAACTGCGGGGCTAAATCTGTCACAGCTTTTCAAGAGAGGGACGAGGCCAGAGCACGACTGCGGCAACTACAGCTTGTACACAACTTCTTCAGTCAGCCTAATTAAGAATAGCAAGTCTGTTGAGAAGAGCCAGGAGTTTGGGTTTAATCCCTAAAAGAAAAGACAACACAACCATCCTGCCCAATAGAGAGTGAATCATAGAGCGCAGCACAATGGAAAATATACTGAAGTCACCGTGGGCGAGATCTGAGCTTTGCTGACTCAAGAGGAGTCCCCAGGATACAGTGTGTGTCATATCTTCTGCACAGATGAAAAATAAACACAACTAAGAGAAAAGGATGAGGGGGAGGCCCGAGGAGATGAGTAGGAGGCAAAGTCACAGCCGGCAAGTGTTTGAAGGGCAGCATCAGCAGAGGGATGTAGGAATTACTGTGCATTCCTTTAGTTTCTGTGTGCCAAATGTTTAATGGAGTGGAGGGAGGGGGATCGGTGTTGGACATAAACTCCACCGTGTTATTCTTAAGTCACATATCACAATTACCCAGTGAACATGTGCGCGCATTTGTGTCAAATGCAGGAAACGGGAAGAGGGCGAGGAAGGAGCGTAGTACAGTTGTCCAACGATCAAACCCGCACATGTTTTTTGTTTCCTAGATGTGTTTTTTCCCCCAATTACGGTCAAACCTTCAAGTCACACAGTAAAGAGGAGACAAAAAAACACATCCTTCTCCTGATCGACGAGGTGGGGGCCTCATGCTCTTTATGTTTGTCATTGTTAGTGTGCATTTCCTCCTATAGGTTGGACAGGCCATGCGTGGAGGGCAGGAAAAAAGACAGCAGCCCGACAGCCTTTGATGTTCATGTTTTATGGTCCCATGTCAACGCATTGTCTGTTAAGTCCCTTTGTTGTCCCTCTGCCTAATTAAGACCTCAGAGCGACTTGTTGACTCCACAAAGACCCTTGTTTGGGGAGGGGGAGGGTGGTGTGTGTGTGTGTTTTTTGTGTGTCAAGGGTTGTGTGTGCATACGGGTGTGTCTCCTTTGACTTGGACCATGTTTGAGGGAAATGTTTGTCACCCACTACATACAAAAAAGTTGACTTTAACGTAAGAATGGAGTCATTCATTTTCTGTTTGTGTCCGTTTGTATCTCTAGCTGCAAAGTAACTGCGAAATGCACTGAACACACACACACACAAACATGAGTACACATGCTACAGGCAAGTGTTTAAAGTGGCAATGCTGTCCTAGCCATTGCTTTATATTGTTTTCCATTCCCTTTTTCATTCCTACCATCATCCAATGGATCTCTCCAGCAAGTCTGGTGGCGTCAATTTGCTGTTAATCTACCCCTCTCAGCAGATACACTGCCCCTACACATACAGACACACACACACACACACCGTCCCACAGCTTACCAGCTTAACTTTGATGTCTCTGATACCAACAGATGGCTGAAAGGTCACCTGTCTCTGAGACATAATGTCCATGAAATAGAAGACGGGAGCAAGACGGGAGCAAGTTCTGCTCACCAGCAGACAGGAGATGTTTTACTATATTGATCTAAATGAATGCTCTGAAATAACTATTTATACTATTTGAGCTTTATAAGGCTGTACATGACTTTTTTGGCCATTTAATACCAATTTTCAACGATTCAGGGTTTTTTGTTCCACATAAAGTTTTAAAGTTTAAAGGGCTCAGCGTGACATTCACTAGCTTCAGGCTGTAATTTCACAAAATTCCCCTGGGCGTGAAACACGTCATTTCCTGGTGTTTTGTTTTTTTGTTCTGTTAAATGCAAATCTTATTGCCTGTGTAATGTCATGAATAATGCAAAGACTGTGTTGCTGTCAACCTATCCTGACTTCCTCATCTCATTTATTTGATTTCATTTGATGTTAATCTCTATTTAACCTCTTGCACTCCACCCCCATTTTGTAGCAAAAACACCTAAAATGACACCCAAATTAAAATGACTGTGGCTTCTGAACCGCTCTGACTACATGCATGCATGAGGTCTTGCCGGAAAGAAAATTGTGTCAGAAACACTCTAGGTGATACAGAGACAGAGTAATGGGCCTCTGAAGTCAGAAAAAAAATTGAAGATTTTGCCTAAAATAAAATAAAAAATGTTTTTCAGGATGAATAACTGTCTGTGGCTTCATCTGAGCAGGTAAATGACACTATGGGGCTGTAGGCACACTATCAATGAACATTTGTTTCAAATTTGAAGAAGACTGCTCAAAGTATGACCATTCTACAGTGTTTTTTCCATGAAAAGATCCAGGCGGAGCTCCAGATGACAAGTCGGTCACGCGGCTTCAAAACAGTACTATCAGTGATCAAACAACACTCAGCCAGCTTCAAACATTGTACCTTATTGAAATCAGGTGTGATTATGATAGCTGATGTTGTTTATGACACAGAAACACGCAAAAGTTATGATCCCGCTTTCTAGACGGTATATCTCAGCCAAAAATAGTGGTAGGAGTGAGACTCTTACCTTTTATAAAAGAGCTACGTGCCCGCTAACAGCTCCACATAAGATCGCGAATAATCCTTTAACTTTTCCCGTCAAAAAACAGCATGACATGACTTGTCACCACTCATTGCGATTTTGGACTTTGTGTGTTTAGGCTGCTCTGGTGTGAAATCCATAATAAATAAAAGAAAAATGATGTTATTTTTGAATCCGGCAATACCAAACATCACATGGTTTGATGATGTAGTGCGCCTGTGAAATACCGTTTAACAGAGGAGGGGGAGAGCAAGGACATCAGCGTCCTGGTGGAGTTAGAGAGGTTTTTAATACAAATGGCATATGACAGTTTTTGGGCTTTGCTGAACATTCAGCAGAAGAAAGCATATGTTTTGTCCTATGTTTCATGTTTGTTACAGTACTGAAAAGACTTTGGTTGACTCTAGCTTGTAATAATAGTTTTAATATTTAAAAAAAATATATTTTTCTAATTATATATGTATATTTTTTACAGTGGGAATTTTGGGTTTGTAATCAGGTTCAGGCCTAAAACTGCTGGTTCACACTCAGATTGGGTTTGGTGGAAACTATGCAGGTTCATGTAATGTCTTGCCAGATTCTCACTTCAGAGCAAAGTACTGAGTTGTTCAAAATCATTCATTTAAAAAAAGAAATCAGCATTCATGATTTATCTGTGCATTAAAGGTTCTGTATGGGACAATCAGAGTATTAATATAGCTGCAAACCATTGTTTGCTGTCTAAAGATATAGTGGAGTAATGGCATCCTGAGCAGAGAATGAAGTCACAATCCCTCTGTTTGTGATCCGAGCTTCTCTGTGGTTTGCCGTGTAAGCTAGTCTGGCCGCTTGTGCATGTTAGTGCATGTGAGTATCCCACTGGCTACCTCATCGCCGCTGCTTTGTACTGCGCTCATATGGTGCTTACCGTCAATATTGGAATGATGTCATCAAGGAAGCATAGTGCCCACCCTTTGGTTCCCCCCGGGTAACACCATTAGCTTCGTTGGCACAGTTTCCATTGTTTAGCGCTGCTTATGGAGTAAGCAGTGTCAGCTGCTAGCCACTGGCTCAGCCACCTCCACTCAAAGGCCAAATTCAATTGTCCGCATGCACCTTGCGGGTGTGTTCCTGGGAAGTTCGGGAGTGCTGAGGGCTGTCCGAATCCACACTTCATCCAGCCCACAAGGGGCCTCCAGTGGATTTGAAGACTTCCAGAGAGTCCGCTTGGGGAGCAGACTTAACTGATTTAATAACCCACAATTAATGACGTTGTGGGTTTATCAACTGCAGAAAAAAAACTTATGAATGTGTAAAATAGTTACTGATGGTTAGTCCTATTAAAATGCTACTTCACTTGTGTGAATGAACAGAATCAGTATTAAGAGAAATGAAGGCGTAAAGAGGGTTTTTATGCTCATTTTACACACTGAATGTCTCAACTTTGGGGCGGGGTAAACAGGTGGGGTCATCTGACATGCAGAATTTCTAAAAATCATATATTGGTATGTGATAAATACTTGCTAGTATTTTTAGTTTACGATAAATACTAGAGTGTCATTAATACATAATATCTGCCCTTGAAAATATAATACAGCATACCTTCCTCAAATCTGCATGAAGATTCGACAGCTCTTTACTGCTGGGGTCTCTGTGAGTCCATCTGCGCCTGCACGCACTATCTGTGTGTTTTCAATCACTGGGACCACTCCAATCCAGTCACTCAACACATTTTCAGTCCATGTTTTCTCATTATCTATTTCCACTCATAGCACGCATCATCCCAACATGCCGCTGTCACTTATCCAAGGACATGTTTCAGCGTTTTTCTGACAAATAAATCACACGAGCACCAGCGCGCGGCACACAGAGTGCCTCCTTGAAAAAACAAACACAAGTGCATGCCATGCAGACACTATGGTATGCAAGTATGACTTTGTGTGTGTGTGTTGTTTGCATCCAGCGGTTTCTGTTTCAGTGTTTAGCTCCATACCAGTGGGTTTTCTTTTGTGTTGACACAGATGTGCTTTGAGCCGAGGGACGTGTGTTTTGGGACTCTTAATGCAAACTGAGTCTGGTTTCCTTCTGTTTCACTTTGCACCATGTTGCAGATTCACAGTTGTGACCGATAAGGCGATTTGCTGTTAGAGGGTGGTGGTTACTCTGTGTCGACACATAGAGTTAGAGGTTAAATGTGCATTTTTGTTGTACATGAATGCAAACTTGTCCATGTGTAATAGTGTGTGTGTGCTCTCCTGTTCAGGCCTGCGTGTGTTGTCCATTGATTCTTGAATGCAACAAGAGCCAATTAAACTGGGCTTGCAGCCTTTCTTGTCTTTTTTTTTGTCTTTTACAACTCAGCTTGTCCAAAACAAGCCACTTCACATTTAACAGCAAGAAAACATCTATAGACTTAACCAGCCGTGCTTTTCTTCGGTACTAAATCGGTCTCGTTTTCTGTCACAGGTTGTCCCATGCCCAGAGATCAGCTGTAAAAGTCCTCCGCAGAATGCAGTACTTTGTGGCCAGGAGGAAATTTCAGGTAAGAGAAAAAGAAATCTAGAGCAGGAGAGAGAAATTGTACTGCGTTGAGGGGAGCAAAAGAGGTGGAGATACAGAGATAAAGAGAGAGACAGATTGAGAGAGAATTGAGAGAGAAGCGTGCGTGTGTGGTGTTTGTGCGGTTATACAGGATGAGCAGGGGGAGCCCCAAGGGCATATATCAGCTGCAGCGCCGCTGTGCATGTGTACATGTGTGTGTACGTGTGTTTTTGTGTGTAAATGCCTGAAACTTGCACCTGCATGTCTTTTTTGTGCTCACTTCAGTTCAGGCGTAGTGTCAAGGGAAGTCTCCTAACCTGTCTCTGGGGCTACAGTAGGAATTCACTTACTGTACCGCACTTGCAAAAACACACTCACACACACACACACACACACACACACACACACACAGCGGGGCACGGCCTCACACAGCAGAATTATGTTAGAAAATTTTGTGCAGTAAATTATTTCAGTTTAAGAAAACATAATTGTGTTTGAGATATTCTGGCCATCATTTTCATGCTACACGCTGTCGTAGAATGGTTCCTATATTCGTACCATTTCCAAGTGCTCTATATGTTTTCAATTATGGCCTAAGTGGTCTCAGCTGCAGAGGCTATACTCTGTGTATACCAGGGATACCCTAAAGAGTTCACTGGGTTCTTTCTGATGCTGCTTGTATCCACGTCACACTAAACAAAGCTGTGAAAGGACCTTAACACGATTGCTTTCTACATGGCCATGCACTTGTCAGTGCACGCATGCACACACACACACACACACACACACACATACTCACACACACACACACACACACACAATGAGTTAACAATGAACCCTTTGCACCCAAGGGGGTTGGGGATGTTTTCGGGGACCGAGCAAAAGCGGCTATGGTTGACAATGGCTTTTGTGTCCCCCCCCTCTGTGTATGTGTGTGTGTGTGTGTGTGTGTGTGTGTGTGATCCACAGCAAGCGCGGAAGCCCTATGATGTGCGAGACGTGATCGAGCAGTATTCCCAGGGTCACCTCAACATGATGGTCCGCATCAAGGAGCTGCAGAGAAGGTGGCGTCTTTGAACTTGATTCATGCTCTTTCTTCCTCGCTTTGTTTCTCTAACTTTTTTATCTTTTTTTTAATATTTCTGTCACCATTATGTTGGATACTACCTCATTCTTCTCCTTCACAGAAGAAGGAAGAAGTCAGAAAACAAAACACAGCTATCTTAAAATTAAGTCAAATCTTCAGTCCTCATGACCACGTTGTCTGACACCATATTTCCACAGTATGGCACACATTAGCTGTGAAGTGTCACATCATACCACGAATGAACATTTGTGTTTCTGTTTGTCCTGCCCTTAAAGGAATACTTCACTCCCAAATGACTACTTGCATATTAATTTCTCATTTTGTCTCACGGTGAATTCATGAAGAAAACTTCTCACATGCCTATGGTAAATAAAAAGAATCTAAAAGCCAAGAAATTTCTTGATAAATTGAAGTCATAGATGATCTGCAGACCTGTATCAAAACATCCATTTTTAAACTCTGGCACAACTTGTGTAGTATAATCCAAGTCTCATTTATATGCTCAGTACTTCCCAAACAGACTGAGTAGGTATAACTGCAGCTGGAGCAGCTACGTGACCCCCCTCTAGCTACATGACTTACCCACCGTACCTACATGTCAGTCCACCATCAGCCCCCTTCGCTCCTTAGCCCAGATTTGGAAGTCCCAATGACGGCGCAAACTTAGCGACTTGCTAGCTATGAAGTATTAAGTTAAAAGAGAGGTGGTTAAGGTTAGCATGAGGGTAATGGGATGCTACGTCTCGTCACTTGTGCTAATGCTAAGTTAGCGATTAGCCAGCTGTGAAGTATTATATTAAAAGAGAGTGGTTAAGGTTAGGGTAATGGGACGGCTACATCTCGTTACTTATGCTAATGCTACGTTAGCGACTAACAAACTTTAGCTATGATGTGTTAGTTAAAAGAGAGGTTTTTAAAGTGAGGGTAATGGAATGGTTACATCTCGTTACTTATGCTAATGCTAAATTAGAGATTAGCTAACTTTAGCTATAAAGTAATGGGAAGGCTACATCTCGTTACTTATGCTAATGCTACGTTAGCGACTAACAAACTTTAGCTATGATGTGTTAGTTAAAAGAGAGGTGGTCAAGGTTAGGGTGAGGATAATGGAATGCTACGTCTCGTCACTTGTGCTAATGCTAAGTTAGCGATTAGCCAGCTGTGAAGTATTATATTAAAAGAGAGTGGTTAAGGTAAGGGTAATGGGACGGCTACATCTCATTACTTATGCTAATGCTACGTTAGCGACTAACAGACTTTAGCTATAAAGTATCATGTTAAAGGAGAGGTGGTCAAGGTTAGGGTGAGGGTAATGGGGAGGCTAAATCTAGTTACTTTTTAAATGAATCAAGTCTCCATGTATTACTAATTATTGAATTGAATTGAATACCTCTATTGTCATTGTACTTTATAATACAACAAAATTAGGGGCACTACTCCACCATGGTGCATACAATACAGTACAGTAAATACAGTAAATACAACATAAAAAAAGGTAACATAAATAAAACAGTGCGTGAGTGGGTGTTTGTTTCAACCAAGCGCATTAAATTAAGCACCAACTTTATTTAGTTTTGCTAATTTGGTCTCATTTATCCACTACAGTGTAGCATTGTAGTAAGGTTCGGATAGCCGTCGCATTGGTAGGTTTGTCTTGTGGTGTGTACAGTCTGTAGGGGCATGTAGTCTACACTACAAACAGAATGTGTCTGCGGCTATACAGCCCTTTCCGACAGGGAACTGAACTGAAAGTGAAACTTATCAGTGCTCTCATCAAAGCCAGACTCCATTGACAAAATAGTAAATTTACCTTGCTGAACATGGGAGCTGCTGATCTACTGCTGCCTCAATCACTTTGTTAATTTGTGTTACTATGTGACTTTGGAGTTTCAAGGGTTAGTTCGTACTCGTACTTGTCATACTCGTACTCGTACTTGTCATCCTCCGCTTATCCAGGTCCGGGTCGCAGGGGCAGCAGCCTCAGCAAAGAAGCCCAGGCAGTCCTCTCCCCAGCCACTTCCGTCAGCTCTTCCGAGGGAACCCCGAGGTGTTCCCAGGCCAGCTGGGCGATGTAATCCCTCCAGCGTGTCCTGGGGCGGCCCCGAGGTCTCCTCCCGGTTGGACATGCCTGAAACACCTCCCAAGGGAGGCGTCCAGAGGGCATCCTTACCAGATGCCCGAACCACCTCAGCTGGCTCTTCTTGATGTGGAGGAGCAGCGGCTCTACTCCGAGTCCCTCCCGGATGTCCGAGCTCCTCACCCTATCTCTAAGGCTGAGCCCAGCCACCCTGCAGAGGAAACTCATTTCGGCCGCTTGTACTTGCGATCTCGTTCTTTCGGTCACTACCCATAGCTCGTGACCATAGGTGAGGGTTGGAACGTAGATCGACCAGTAAATTGGGAGCTTCGCTTTCTGGCTAAGCTCCCTCTTCACCACAACAGACTGGTTAAGCGCCTGCATCACTGCTGATGCCGCCCCAATCCGCCTGTCAATCTCCCGCTCCATACTACCCTCACTCGTGAACAAGATCCCGAGATACTTAAACTCCTCCACCTGAGGCAGGACCCCCCCCCCCCCCCCCCCCCCCCCCCCCCCCCCCCCCCCCCCCCCCCCCCCCCCCCCCCCCCCCCCCCCCCCGACCTGGAGTGGGCAATCCACCCTTTTCCAGCTGAGGACCATGGCCTCAGACTTGGAGGTGCTGATTCTCATTCCAGCCGCTTCACAGTTGAACTGCGAACCGTCCAAGCAGGAGCTGGAGGTCACTGTTCGATGGGGCTAGGAGGACCACGTCATCAAGGGTTAGTTCACATTCACCAAAGTCACACAGTAACACAAACAAACTCCTGAACAAGGCAGTGGTATATCGGCATCTCCCGTATTCAACAAGGTAAAATGACTGTTTTTTCCAATAGATTCTGCTCTAAAGAGAGCATAGGTACGTTTAACTTTTAGTTCATCTCCCTGTCAGAAAGGGCTGTCTGAGAAGTATTATGCATTAGATAAATAAGATTTGGATTATACTGCACGAGTTTGTAAATGGATGTTTTGATATAGTTTTGCTCTGACTTCAATTTATCAAGAATTTTCCACATTTGAAGGGTGAAGTAGTCCTTTATCTAGGCTACTGACATCACAGTCAACTGAACTGGGCCATGAAGACAACAGAAAGAGAGATAGCTCCATCATAATTTCTCTATTCAGCTTTCAGTAACTGCAGTACAGTTTGTTACTATTCTACTGCTCATCTGACAGATAAACTGGTTTCTGATTTGTTACACCTTGTTGTGTTTTGTTGAGCTGTAATTAAGTCCAGTCCTTACTGAAGCAAATCCTCTTTTCCTCTTCCTGCATATTTTCTTTCCTTTTTTTTTTTACAACTCCCTCCCGTGAAGGAGGTCGCTTAGGTAATAAATTAGGTCAAACTTATGTAAGTGCGTCACCTGGATCTTGTAACACCTTTAGCAGTAATTCAGCTGAACCATGGTAATGCGCTGTGAAATTTTGAAACCAGTGGAGCAGCATAACAGATCAGTAAATCAAGGACAGGCTGATTCTTTGATTATTTAATATAAACTAACTGCAGTGATGTAAATTTTCAACGCAGACTCACAGAGCCAAGACTCTTTTATATTCTACAGTGTCGCTCATAAAAACCTTAAGCTGTTGATTTTCTTTTTCTATTTTTGCAACCCAAAGAGAAAGACATCACAGCACTGGCCACATCTGACTCCTGCAAAAACACCACAATAATGCAGTGACCGCGCTGCATCAAATGGGTCACCAGCATAAATAAAAGATAGTTAAAGACATGTGATTGCTCTGATTAAAATCCACCCTCGATTTGAGGTGATGAAAAGAAGAATGCTTTGCAGTGCATATTGAACTGCTTCTCCTGCTTCAGTAAAGTTATAGATGACTAACAGTCCACATGTGCAAGTCAACCTCCTGCTCATTGTTTATTTTGAAAGCTTGACATCTCACTAAGATCATGGCAATCATTTATTCATCCCTTTAAAACTTGCATGTGGGCTTTTTTCCCCGAAAGCAGTGATTATATAAATACCGTTCAAGCTGACGCCATTTGTTTAATTTTATTGGCTCTATAAATTGGCTTATATTATTTTACTGTTTTGTTCATGAGCTGGAATAAAGTGCTGTTTACTCAACTGAATCTCCTTTGTGTCTGGCCAGTGTTTTTACCTTTCTCAGTCTAATTACTTCTGTCTTTTCCCCCCAGGCTGGACGGCACACTGGGGAAGCCAGGAATGTTTCTTCCAGGTAAACACACAGGAAACACAACAGTCTGCATCTGATAGACAGCCATCACTCCTCAGTCCATCCCTGTGTTTATCCCTCACACATACACAAGCTGTGCCAGACTAAATATGAGAGAGAAGTCCCTGGTGTGTGTGTGTTTGCACTTGAAGGTTGCCCGTTCACTTACGTTTTAACAGGTCTGATGCTACTATGCGCCCCGGCTGTATCTAGGCTAACAGCTAACATGCTAACTATTATTTTTATGTCACTAGTCACTTGAAACAAATTTAGGACAATAGGAGACAGGTTGAAATATCCCTTTAAGTCCGCCAAACATCTCTCCGACCGTCTTTCCGACCATCCGCTTCGGCCTCAGACACTATAAAACAAAAAGTCGAGCCTAACAAGACATTCTCAACACTATGCGCTTATACACGGTCCCACAGCAAATTTTGACGTAGTGGCACACCTGACAATGAACATTAGTTCCACCATAGAAATACAGATAAGTAAACAATGAACCAATGCCATAGTAGCATTATACATCAAACAGCACGTAACAAGTGGGTCAGACAAGACCCTGGATTAAGAAAACAGCTCTGGAGCCCTTTACTCATCACTTTTGCATATTCTCCAGCACACATTTCACACACACACACACATACACAGAAACAGTGTGAAAAAAATGGTGATACTCAGATACTGAGTCAGAGACATCTGTTAACTCACCGAGGTTTTACACCTCTGAGGGGAAAATATTGTGCACAGTGGAGGCTAAACCTGCCTAAACTCAGTTTACCCATCACGCAGTCTGAGGAAAGGAGTAACTCGTGTTTTTAAGGCTACATAACTCTTTCTGACATGCATTAACTGTTTACATTACAGCAGGGGGCTGTAAACTGCCACAGTGACCTGAACCCACAAGAAACAGTAGAAAATGAATGAATGGATGGTTTCATGAAGAATCATGAGCCTATAGGGCTCTTAACTAACTTTTCTGCATTTGTTTGTGTTTCTGTGGGGATTCTGTCAATATTTCTGGTAAGTGTGAATTTATTTTGAATAAATCTGTATCTCTGTATGTTTGATATTCTTTTTTCATTCGCCAGGAAAAGGAGAAGATAAAGAATACCCAACTATTGGAGCGCGACTGATCAGGCTAGAAGATAAGGTAGGCACACTCCTGCTGCTCAGTGTGTGTGTGTGTGTGTGTGTGTGTGTGTGTGTGTGTTATGTCTGTGAGTTTCAGAGATAAAATGATTAGACTACCCTTGCTGCTCACGTATATGTGTGTGTCTCTGTTATCAGATGAATGCGTGCATGTGTAATCTTTTAATATGACAGTGTTATGGCTGTGCTTGGCCAATCTGTGCCGATGCCAAACATACGCCTACATTCTCCACTCTCCTCCTTATCAGCGTCTATTCAGTGCTGCATTTATGCTTTACTGACATTTGTGTTTTTATTTTCTTGACTCCCGTTCTGGGCTGGGTCATTTTGATGATTTTCCATGCCAGCCCTTCTTTTTTCCTGTGATCCCAAGGTACGCTGGGTGGTGACAATTCTTGGATGTTTGCGTTTCCATAAGTGAGTATTAGTGCAGTGGAAGAATTAGGGGAGCTGAAGAGAAAAGTCTTTATACAGTGAGGCACAGCCAATAGACAACAGCTGTGCTATGAAGCCCTCGGGTGTAACTAGGCGTGTCCTCTCTCATAGTGGAACAGGCACAACATGATGCCAGCATGATGCCAGCCCTGATGCCAGCGTGATGTCAAGATAGACATTTCCCCTCTGGTGATGGTTGTACCAGTTGGACTGGTGCGTGTGTATGCGTCTGCGTTCCTATCTGTCCTTGTCTCTTTCCATCTTTCCATGTGCAAATCATAGGATATGAAATGTGTTTGTTAGATTTAGTGTGTGGCTACATCTGTTGTTTGTTTGTCTGACTGGTGGCATCACTAGAAAGTGAAGTTATGTTTGTGGATTTGGAAAAAGTTTGGAAAAGTGTTTGCGCGCTCAGGCATGTTTTTTTTTCTTGTCACATTACCCTCTCACATCTTACAAATGAAAACAAGTCCTATACAATGGAACAATGCATTCTGCAGCCACTTCTTTTCTATTCAGGTCAGCCAGCTCAGGATTTCCCCCACTTTGCCTTAACATTTACCATCCCATCTCTGTGCGTTCATCAACACTGACGTTCTCTAATGCTTGCATGCGTTTGCTGTTCTCGGGCCGCTTTGTTTCAGAGAGAGGAGTAATGATCTTGAACCAATGTACGCTCCGAGACTGAAGACCTCCCTCGGTGATTGGGTTACGGCCCATTTGCTCTGGGCTACATGTTGTGATCGCAATCTCCTGATTGGAAACATAAACCTGTGTTGAGAAGTGCCTTCCTTTTACCTATGACTCTCTTTTCTATTTTCTCTTTCAGCCTCTCTTTTCCCTTTTTCAATTCTTCCCACTCGTCACTCTTCCTTCACATAAAGGCAAAATACAATTGAGAGGTGGATAATTGAGAAACATATCAGTGGAAGCCTTCTGACGCAGGCTGCTTTCCCTCTTAAACAATGTGGAACCAATCACCATTATATGAGCTGCATTCGCATGCATTGCTGTAACAAGCGTCCTCTCCAAGTGAAGAGCAGCAGAGCCACCCAGTCTTCATAATTACTGTATTCGTCGCCTCAGCACATGCCCCCCTTCCCCTCTTTCATTTCCGGTCGTGTGAATTTCTTGTTTTGATGGTTTTGATGAGCCAGCACACCTGTTAAGGGGGGGGGGGGGCCTCCGTTTTCCTTCAGGCAGCAGGTGGATGAACCCGTCGACCTCTGTTACATAGTTCATTCCCCCGACCTCCTCCAGATACGCCTGCACTGTTAACCTCCAGTAGCACATCACAGATATTATTGTCCACTCTAGATAAAATATCAGCTTTGTGTTTCTGGAATGCAGTGATTTTATAATTACACTTACAGTGCAATCCCAGTAATTGCATAAAATGACCTTTGTTGTGATCGAACACAGCATTTGCTTTGTGCCCCTGACCCATTTTCTCTTAAAGCTACACTTGGTAACTTTTTGTCATTCATTCATTTTCCTGTTGGGGCTGGAGCCTATCCCAGATGACACTGGGCGAGAGCAGGGGAACATCTTGGACAGGTCGCCAGACTGTCACAGGGCTGACACACGAGCCCTTTTTAAATATGAGTAGTGCAAATTTGCAGGAAAGCCCAATCAGTCTTCATTCAGCATTGGCAGTATAAAAACAGAATCGGGGAGTGCAGCAAAATGCCGCCTGCCTACTTTTGTTTATACAGAATGTATAATGTAATGTTTTCGGGGCAATGGGGGGCGTGAGCAAGTAACAAAATGTGTAGCTCAGCGTGTGACGTAAACAGTGACGTGGCAGGAAAGCCGCGGCTGGTCAGTCCTTCGGCGATTCTCTCATAAGTCGGCCCGTCCTTCACCGTCCCCGTCATCTGACGGTTAATGGCCTCTTCGTTTGCGAGGACAAGGAGGGCGCGCAATTCTTTGTCTCCCCAGTTGCTCATCTTTACAGTGTCTGTCAGGTTTGCGTTTCCCTCTTGCTACTAGCTGCTCGCTAATTCCTGCTATCAGCTGTTTCCTGTTTATCCACCGCCAGTGGCTCGCACGTGCGGCGTCATCAACAGCTCCTCCCACAAGTCATCAACAGCCCCTCCCGTGGCGGAAGGGCGCCTCGTTCTTTTTAAACCAAAAAGGTTCCGCCAATATGTTTACCCTACGAGGTGGAAGATTGGGCACCTCGGATCAACTCACCAGTCCGGCTCTGTGTGTCTAAACGCTCGCAGCTTGCCGGCAAAACGGCCCAACATTCGCCGAAAATCTTGCAGCATAAAAGGGGTTTTAGAGACAGACAACCGTTCACACTCACATTCACACCTACAGCCAGTTTAGAGTTGTCAGTTACGTAGCCTGCATGTCTTTGGACTGTGGGAGGAAGCCGGAGTACCCGGAAAGAACCCACGCTGACACTGGGAGAACATGCAAACTCCGTAAAGAAGGGCTCTCCCACCCTGGGGTTCAAACAAGGAACCCTCTTGCCTCTTGTGAGGCGACAATGCCAATGTTGTCATATTTGCTGAAACTGTCACTATATTCTCAAAGTATCATACGTGACGGATCGTATCCCTCCTCTTTCCCCTACTGCCTCTAGTAGCATTTGCCAGTCTTCTGTGACTCATGAAAACAACCGATCAGAGCGGAGGAGTCGCTAACGCAGCTGTCAATCATGTCAATCTCTGCAGTCAAACTGTCAAAATATGCAGTGCTGATCAAATATGAATAAAGACTGTGTTACTGCAGTGTCTGTGTCTCCCCTCACGTGTTTCCAGAAACATACTGTATTTTAGTGTACTGTTTAGGTGTGAAATGAGAAAGTTTGTCACCCGGCCACGATGTTGGAAACAGTGAAGCTGAGACAGAGCACCACCTTTCTCATCTTACAGCTAAACAGTACACTTAAACATGTTTAGATGCTGCCTAGTTTGACGGTTTGACTGCAGTTCATGAGCAGTGATTGACATGATTGACAGCTGCATTAGACGCTCATTCATTCATGTGCGGTAATGCCATTAGAAGCAATTCAAGGGGGCAGAGGAAAGTTATTTTTTGCACAGGTCATCTGTCTTATGTATTTCTGTGTGGATATAGTAACAGTTTCAAGAAATGAGACCAAAAATAATTTTTATAAAAGTTGCCAACTACAGCTTTAAATCTTTATTTTGTTAAACTCTGAGTTTTTCCACAAAACTTGGATTTTTGACACCTAACAAAATGTATTCCCTCCCAAAACAACATTTCAACACGAGGCCTGTGTTTCAGCAGCAACATAATGCCCCATCCAAACATAGCGCCTCAGCTAAATGAAAGTTTACAGGAGATGTAACGTGAGATAAAGTACACAATGAATCAAGCTTGTTGTAACTTCTAATGGTCAGAGTGCCCTTGAGTTCAGTTGTTTGCAACAGAATCTCCAACGCCGACACTCTTGTTTGTCTCGCATCACTGCCTGCATTTCATAACGTTGTGTAACTTCTGAGTTGCGTCACCTCTCGCATGTTGCTCATAATAGTAAACCTAATCACACACAAAGCAAAACCCTGGTGTCACAGTTGAATCACCTCCGTGTAGGATCTTTCTCAACGGCCCTGAGGAATTATTCATCAACTCTGTGCCCTGGTGCTCATGTGTATGTGTGAGGTTGTGTGTGTGCACAAGAGTGTGTTCCCATGCCTTTCTCAATACTCACTCTTGGTCGGACTCCAGCTTCTTTTTTTTTTTTTTTTTTTTGACAAATTCCCACTTTCTGCTCCCCTTTCCCCGGTAAAACATGGACCACTCTGGCTGCGCTTCACGCTGCAGCTGAGTAAGGAGCACAGGATCATTTTCTTGTCCAGCCATTGTCAGCACATCACTTGTAGATGAATTTATCTTCAGTGGGCTGAAGGGGGCTCGGGCATTGTGTGTCCTGTACAGGGTTAGACAGTGATTTATCACACAAAGACAAAGACACATATAGGTCTACACACACACACGCACTCACACACACACACATGAGCCCAGGGTCGATAAATCACCAGTGTGTCTAACCCCGCACACTCAAGATTGAATTCTCCAGGAGCGACTTGGAAACGAAGATGGATGGCACTCTGTGACAGTGTGTTATCTTTCTGTCAGACACACTCGATGAAAAATACCCAAACGACAAGCTCAAACAGTGGCCAGTGTCTCCGGGCTTCAGCGCGGCCTTTCAGAACGGAGCTCGCTGCGTGCTTTAGGATGAAGTCAGCCCTCTGTTTGTGGTAAATCTCTCCCGGTTTTATAGGAACGGGATTTTTTCTCATAGCAATAGACGGAAAAGGGCAGGGAAATTACAACAATATGCCCTCACATAGCCTGTAAATGTCTGTCTGAAAAACTGTTTTAGTCTGATCCAATTTATTTCAGAGATTTAACAATATTGTGAAGTGTTTTTTCGCGGCCCAAAACAACCCAGCAACTTAAAACTGAAATTAGTGTGTAGAGCTGAAGGCAGTCTTTAATTATGTAGGAAGAGAGATTTGTTTCGTTCTAGGGCAAATGTTTTCCACAAGGTTGAAAAGAATAAAGTCCACACCAAACTTTTAA